GCTTACAGAATTTGAAGAATGTGTTGGAACACTGGACAGATCTGTAAGATAAATCTGTATAGTGCTAAATTGATTGGGTGTAGGGGATAAGAGAAAGGAAAATGTGATCAAGATTTCAAAGCTAGGAGAATGATATTTTTAGCCAAGGTGTAGGAATAAGAGAGAGAGCAAGGTCAAGTACTAAATTTTGAGTTCAGTTTTAGGCTTTTGAATGTGAGCGTCTGTTAACAGATCCTTAGGAAGATGTAATTAGTGGTTGGAAACATGGATCGAAAGACCAGGAGAGAAGTTAAATTTCAACAAAATAGCTGGGAGAGTCCTCTGAATCAAAGTGTTGTTTGAATTGCAGAGATGCATGAGATCAGTGAGGGGGAGGAGACACAGGACCAATGCAGAAAGCTGGTTGAATGACACCTGAGGAAGAGCAGTCAGAAGTGTGCGGAGTGCTGACACAGCTAGGAAGTGGCCCAGGAATCAAATGCCAGTAGAGGTGATAGGCAAGTGTTCTGAGACAGACAGTCTTGAGACAAGGGAGTTGGGGCAGAGGTGACTGGATAGTCATCGGCAACTTCCAGAGTTACAGTTATAGGCGGTTATAGGAGCTGAAATGGTGGTAGGAACGAGGATGTAACTGCTATTGAGGCAGGGGGTGATTTCTTCCAGAAGTTTCATGGTAAAGGAAAGGAGAGTGCTTAATGATTCTAAATGGTCCTTTCTGTAAGGTGGCATGTGCTAAGGAGTGTGGCTAAACCAACGCATTACCTATCATTTTCCCTGTCTTTTCAGGGGATCAGGAAATACAAGGTCTGATCATTTTTGTAAGGTACTCCGGAATAAACCATATTTAGTTCCTGCTATGTTTGGTTTATAGAAATAAGCCATTTCTTCTTCATGTGTTTAATAGGAGAAAGCATGGAACAATGACAAAATTAATAAAATTGTGGTTTATATTCTAGGGTTTATTTCCTTTCTCACCTAGGCTACTTCTGAAATCAATTGAGGGAGAAACATTCAGGTATTTTCCTTTCCTGCTTCCATTGCCCACAGAACATTTAAATTTAAATAAATTGCTCTGATTTCCTCAACTAGGAATTAGAGCAATTGATGAATTTGGGTACATTTAACATACATGGAGAGACAACTTGTCTGAGTTATCACTAATATAGGGTATCCCAAAAGTCTTAGTGTAGTTTTTAGCTATAATAATTTCAGAAATATATATGCTTGAAACTTACCAAAAATGTGTTTAAGTTTAATTATTTAAATTATTTAAATTTAATTACTTATTATTTATTAATTATTTATTATTAATTAAAATAATTTAATTATTTAAATTTCTCATATACTTATTTATCTTTGTAATTTTGAGTAATACATGTTTAATTTTTTGTTTTAGTCTCTTTGAAGATGGCAAACATTTATAATTAGGTGCCAAGCTGGTCTATTCCCCTTTTATAAGGCACTTACCAAATTAAATGGAGATTTTTCCATTTCTGTAATCATTGGCTTTTGTGATTTACCACCTCCCCCAGAGCATTTGGACCTTCTTCGCTGAGAACAATATTTCTCACAGTGCGCTGGTGGCATTGTTCTATCATTTTGTTCAAACAGTCCATAAGAAAAACGTCAGTGTGCAGCATCGAGAATATGGCCTTCATGCCGCTGGGCTTTATTTTCTGCTATTAGAAATACCAGGTATGTGTATTTGATAGGATAGGACAAATCTTTTGTCATTTAAAAATTTTCTGCATTGTTTTGAGTTCTTATACTTTGTTTCCTCACTTGTAAAATGGAGCAGTAGTAACCCATCTCATAGAGTTGCTCTGAATTTAAATGAGAATCTTAAGTCTGTGAAGCACATGCAAAAGTGTTCCAGAAATGTCTTTCCCATTTTTCTTTAATTGTGTTTTTCTGATATGATATGTCAATAACCTAGTACAAATAATCTGAGAGGAACAAGGCTGGAGGGGGAATGTTTCCAAGCTTGCAAGAGTTCCACTCCCACCCATCCCCACCGAGTATAAAATTCTTATATTCCCGTCTCTTCTCCCGACTTCCAGTCCAGACTGAGAAAAACTGCTGTGGGGAGTCATTGTGTTATATCTCTCCTATGTGGTGTGGAAAAACAGGTTGAAACCATTCTAATCAAGAAAGCAT